CAAACAGGGAAACTTCTAGAACTGGAATAGAAATAAGAAGAAAACTATTTTCTTCTCTTATTGCTAAACTTCCTAAGATCCTGCCCTTCCCAGGCAATCTTAACTATCAGTGGAAAATGCTCATGCTACAAGCTAGTTACAAGGATAATACTTGACTCTCTTCCATTGTCTTCTCTCTGAAAGATATGTTAGCTTCAAGTAATTTTGCCTGACCACTATGGAGTGAAAATATATATACACATTTTTTGGAAACCATCGCTCTCTTTTAAACTGTACTTTCTAACAAAAACAAATCATGTACCAAAAACATCCCTCTCCCACATTATCATGACTAGCAATGAGCCACTTCTCTGCTTTTCCCAGGAGCCAAGAGAAAAAGATGAAAATTCTACCACTGCTGGTGTGCATCTGTGCACTGAGTGCTTGCTTCTCAGTAAGTATTCACCCAAATAACTTTCATTCTTACGTACCCATAACAAACGTTTAGTGCATATACTTACTTGAGACTTTAAAAGTATAAAAAGCAATTCCTGTTTCCAAGGAATTTCCAAGGAAATAGGAATTTGACACCTTTTGCTCTCTGTGAAACATAAGAAGACAGATCACTAAAGCGCAAGGAAATGATGCATATTATTTAATCAATATTTACGTAGCACAAATTTTACCCTGGATGTGATGAGATCAGACTAAGATGCAGAAAACAAATCATGTAGCACCTCACTGATGTAGAATACAGATTCGATTCTCAGTATATTAGGAAGCCTCAGGATGATTACAGCATCCGCAGGGGAATGACGATTCTGGATTCTGGTCAGGGAAGGGAGCAAAAGTTGAGGTAAAGAGAGTAGTCAAGAAGCTATAGCCATGGTCCAGAAAAAAAGATGATGGTATCTTGCACTAAATGTCAGCAATTAAAGTAAAACATGAGGGTGAATTTAAGATATGTTTTGGTAATTAAACCTACCTTAACTTCTGCTGGGTTGGGCATGTGATTTTAAAAAGAAATGAACATAAGAATTCTATCTGGGATATGTTAAATTAGCCTTCTACAAGGAGATGTCAGGAGTCGATTAGATATACATTGTCTGGACTCCAGAAATAAGTCAAGGGGGGGAGTCTATATTTGGAACATATGAAAGCTAGAGGGCCTTACAAGATCTCCTGGAGAGAATATGTAGGAAGTTTGGAGATGGATAGAGGAAATGGTGGAACCACAAAAGAAGACAGGAACTACGGTTTCCCAAACCTAAAAATTACAAAATGGACCCAGTTTTAAAGGTCTTTAAGGTCTACTGGGAAAAGAAGAGTAAAACTGATAATGATTCCGAGTGACATACAATATAATGAATAGCATATTTGTTTCTAAGTCTATATAAGTGGATGTATTTGTGCACTTTTATTTTGACAAATTTGAGGGAAGGCTCCAGAAATGGAATGCAGATATTTTGAATGAGACTGAACACCTTCGGAATATAATGACAGTAAAAAGCTGATAGAGAGAGTAGGAGAACTGATAAGAATTTACTCTTTTATACTCTCATATTTCCCAACTACTATATAAGATTCTCTCCAGAAAAACTGTCTGGGCCTGTATGCTGGACCCTAATGTTGATTTCTGTGACTAGAAGAAAATGCACTGAAGTTGGGGTTCAGAAGATGTGGGCTTAAGTTCATCATCTGAAAATCCAGATGAATATTGAGTTACAATCTCTCTATAGGGCCCAATTTCCCTGTGTGAGAATAGTAATAACAGCATATGCTTCACAAGGCTGTTGAAGAGTGAGAACACATGTATTTATAAATTTTAAAGCACAATACAAATGTAAAAATTATGACTGTAGGATTGTTAAAATCCCTATTTACATATTAGTTGATAAGAATTTTAGGTCTGAATATGCATGGTAATACTAACTTTTTTAATAAGTTGAATTTTAACAAGGAACCTCTGGTTAACAAACACCTCTAGATGGAGAAAAATGACATTCCAGTCAAAGCAAATCATTGTGTGGTCGTGAAATGACTACAGCTGAGTTGGTGTTTTGAGGAAACCCTTCCTGATACTTCCTACAAATTCCAGACACCTAAAGAATTATCCCTTCCACATGTTCAGGATGAATAAAACTCTTTAAATTGCCCAACTCTCAAAATGCTCTAGCGAGAGAAAGAATTTCCAAAGAATTTAAATTTGAGGAGACAGCCCAGAAATACTTAAACGTGGCCCTTCAGGAGGTACCCAGAGTGGCACCAGCCCACAGTCAGAGAGCACCAGCTGGGAGTTCGGGCAGCAGCTTACTCTGCTTCTGTGGAGCCATTTCAGGGAGTAGGTAGCCTGGCCCCTCTCTCAGGTGTCCCCCAAAAAGACTGAGGGCATGTATTCTGGAGTCAGATGAGGACTCTGTTAAATATAGCATCACTTACATATACTGCTTCCTTATCTTTGGGAAAGGATTATAGGTTTTCCCAAAGATCATAGAAGCTAGTAACCCAAAATGTAAGCATTTTGTGTGCTTTCCAATTTCAAGTGCTGTTCTGACCCTGCACTCTTCTAATCCTCTTCCATTCTATCTATTTCTTTCATAACCTGTTTATTCCTCCTACTCCAAATCCCTAAATTTGGCCTCCCTCTCATTACTTTAGGAAGCTTCTGCTTCCTCCTGTCTCCGCTTTCTTGCTCCAGGTGCCATGTGCCGCTCTAACTTGTCCCTTCCTGACTCCAGACCACTCTCCCCTCACTCCCCACCCTTCTTCCTCTCCTCTCCCCTCTCTGCTCAAAAGTATGGTTTGCATAGGTAGACATATTCACCTAAAAGTTATTCATTCTCTCTGGGCAGCTTCATCTGTATAATGAGGATAACAATAGTATCCACCTTATGCTGTTGTTAAGAAATTGAGTAAATTTACATTTGTAAACCACTTAAAATAGGGATTGACATATATTAAGGGCTATATAGCTGACCCTTGAATAACTCGGGGGCTAAGGGCCTCAATGACCGCACCCCTAGACAGTCAAAATCTATGTGTAACCCTTGAATCCCCAATAACTTAACTGTTAATAGCCTACTGTTGACTGGAAGCCTTACAGATAACATTATCAGTCAATTAACACATGTTTTGTATGTTATATGTATTATATACTGTATTCTTACAATAAAGAATGCTAGAAAAAGAAAATATTTTTTAAGCTGTCACAAATTTCCAAAAGAATTTTCCAATATATTTATTGCAAAAAATCCATGTATAAATGGACCCACATACTTCAAACCCATGTTGTTCAAGGGTCAGCAGTATAAGGATCTTTTTTACAAAAATAATAGATGTGAACAGGCAAATGAGGATATCTTTAATATGCTCTTCCTGGCTTAACTATATTTATTATAAGCACTTTCATATTTCAGTCTGAGCTCAAACCCTTTTTAATTTTCAATTTCAATTCATGCTAAGCATTTTCAGTTCCTCCCCTTCTCACCCAATTCCAATCAACAAGATCTGTTAAAGCCATCTAAAACTGCCAATCAAAATAAGTAGTATATATTAAGTAAATTAGTCAAACTGGTCATTTGATACATTCCTATGCTAACATTAAAATTAACAAGATTTTCATTAATTTTGTCTTCATATCAAAATGCCATAGATACTCTTTGGGTCACCTAAATTAAAATTCACATCCTAATAAACATTTTTAAATGTTAAAATTTATTCAATGAGAAATGTGTTTCCTTATTATCATCTCCATGTATCGTTCATTCAGTAAATACCTCACGGGTGCCTATTACGAGCCAAGCATAATTGTAGGTATTGAACATGCAGAGATTAGTAAAACAAAATCCCTGCCTTCCTGAAGCTTATCATCTGATTAAGGGAATGAAAAGAATAACTATTTCAAACATAGAAGTCATAGAATTAAACTCTAGATCTGGAACTTAATTTAATCAAAATAATTTCATAAATGAATAAACTGAGAGCCAGTGAAATGAAGTGCTTTGCCCAAAGTCACTCAGTTATTTAAAGACAGATGCAAGACAGACCCAAACATCCACTGATGGCTTTGCAGTGTTTCATACATGCTCCTCTAAGATCTGGGAGTTCTTCACACTATCCTCAGAAACCACCTGGAAAGGGGGAGACTGAGGCCTCCAACCCTGCTTCCATCAGATCAATTTCATAGTTATCTGGATTGCATATTGAATCTCCAGGGAAAGGTTTGCTTGAACAACTTGACTTGCTTATTTTATATATGAAAACTACTGCCCTCTAACAGAAAGGCTCTCCTGAGAGGTTCTGTGATAAAGAACACCCTGGGTTCAGAGTTACAGATTCTGGAATTCTATGTGCTTTAGAAAAACTTTGTAAAAACATCAAAGTTTTATAGATTGGAAGCCATTATTTTAACTTTTGGATGTTCTCAGTTAGGACCTGGAATATCCTGGATAATTTATTTTTTAAAACAATGCTTTCCAAAGTTATTTCTAAGGCTAGGTATACTAGTCTCTGAGCAAGTTGTCTTAGCTGGAGAACTCCACTAGTCTCACAGGAGTTACCTCTTTACCCATGCCAACCATTGTCTCTGAAGACAGCTTTATAGTGTGGGGCTGGAATGATTTATCTATTTCATGGTCTACAAAGTTTTCATGTAGAAATAATCAGGAGGGAAAACATTAACCTATACTTTCTTGGAACTTTGGAATTCCCCCCTTATCCTTAGGTTAATATTTCATTAATATAATTGAAACTTTTAAATTCTAGTAAGAGATTGAATACAGAATAAAAGTATAAAAGCTGTTCAGGAAGTATATCGGGAAAAGATCAATTATCAGCTGTACAGCTGGACTAGATCAGTGTTATTTTTAGAAGTGAAAAATACCTTTGAGAAATCATGAAAGCTACAGGTCCTCTACACAGACAAAATGCATAATATGAAAAAGTTTTCTACAATAGCATAGGATTCATGGTTCCCCGAGTTTCTGTATCTAATTTTTATAATGATGAAGTTAAAAATTAATGGCCAACTTTCATTCTCCAATTTAAAAAGGCTAAAAATGAAGTTTCCTGTGTTATGGAGAATATGAAGCTGAGATGGAATATTTGTTAAGTGGGTTGTTTGGGATTTTGTTGTCTGTTTTGTTTTCTGATGTTAGCAGAAATGAGGGGTGTAATTCAGAAAGGATTTCTGGATCTCAGTTGAATGTTTTTGAAGTTTCACAGACAGAATGCAGCAAGCAGGGAGTCTTTTTGCTCAGGCCTCAGGCTGTAACTTACCATTTCTACCAGGGGCAGAATACAATAACTGCAAGCACCAAAGGGCAAATTTAGCTAATCCTCCAGGCTTGAGCCTACAAGAATATATACACCCTAGCTAGCTGGGAAATAAACATTTAACAAAATGAAACTCCCAAAAAGCAAGTTATTACTGAGATTTGGTGAATTAGAAGGATAATCACTCAACCCACTGCAATCCAGTTTCCAGCCACTAATACTGTTCCTCCCATATTCAGCAATAACACCTAGTTGATAAATCAATGGATGTTTTCAGTTATTGCACTTTCTTTTCTACAGCTTGGTGAAAGTCGAAAAAAGCAATGGAAACCATATCACAAAAAGAAGAATGTTCAGCGATATGTATTTGACCACCGATTTCCATTTCATCCAAAATTTCCACCTCACTGGAAACTATTACTTCAAAAGCATCACCATTTTAATCAACCCATACAACAAAAGCCTAAAAATTTAAAGAGAGGAAACTCATTGTCAAAATATCCCTGCTTACTTAAGTGTCCAGTTAAAAATAACACTGTGATCAACAATAATGCCTCAGAGACTACTATTCAAACCCTATCTATGAGTCCCACATCTGCTTCCACCAAAATTGCTCTCTTCCCAGATGTGACTCCTCTTGTTCAGAATGCTACCACCACATCTGCAAGGGAAGATTATGTCACTACACACTCTTCTGCAGGTACACCATCACCACAACCTTCCTCAATTCGGCCAGAGACCACAGCTGCCCCACCCACCTCTTCCCCAGCTCCACCAGAGCCCACAGCCGTCCCACCTACATCTTCCCCCGTTCTGCCAGAGACCACAGCTGCCCCACATACATCTTCCCGAGTTCTGCCAGAGACCACAGCCGTCCCACCTACATCTCCCCAAGCTCTGCCAGAGACCACACCCGTCCCACATACATCTTCCCGAGTTCTGCCAGAGACCACAGCCGTCCCACCTACATCTCCCCAAGCTCTGCCAGAGACCACACCCGTCCCACATACATCTTCCCGAGTTCTGCCAGAGACCACAGCCGTCCCACCTACATCTCCCCAAGCTCTGCCAGAGACCACCCCACCCACATCTTCTCCAGCTTCACCAGAGACCACAGCCACCCCATCTACATCTTCAGCACCTCAACCAGAGACCACAGCTGCCCCACCTACATCTTCCCCAGCTCCACCAGAGAACACAGTCACTCCACCTACACCTTCCCCAGTTCCACAAGAGACCACAGCTGCCTCACCTACATCTTCTGCAGCTCCACCAGAGACCATCCCACCTACATCTTCCCCAGCTCCACCAGAGACCACAGCTGCCCCAAATATCACAGCTCATCCTTCCCCAACTACTCTTGCATCTGAAACTTCCAAAATTATAGCTGCAGCCATAATCCAATCTATGACTCCAGCCACCATTCAAACTACTACTGTTGAACAACCAACTTTATCTTTTCTGCAAAAGGCATATATTGATATGTGGCAATATATTTTTAACATAATAGAGCAGATTTGGAATGTTAGACCAAACCAATAGCACATCATCATTGTAAAGTGTTCTGTTACTATATATGATTTAAGAGTGCAGACTACCACCTTTACTTTTACCACCAATCTCAAAATGAAATTATACTATTCCCCAAATTTAAAGCCCTATCAACCAATCTTTGAATCTAACTATTCACCTCACATGACCTATTAACAAGAAAAACCACTTCTATTCCATAAACCTCTGTGAATCAAAGGAAGACATGGTGGTTATTATATTTTACCATTAATTCAATTTACTGCTAATTCAAACAATTCACATTAATTCAGTATGAAATGTATTCAACAGTGGAATATTTTCTAAAAATTGTAGCTATATTTTTTAATATGTTCTAAAGCAAACCATATCAAACTACTACCCTAATGTCAAGTTTGCAAAACTGCCTCTGAAAATAAACCTTCTAGTCAGTAGAAGAATAAAAACTTTCTATTTGTTATATAGAGATAATATTAATTTGGGGTGTGGAGGTATTTTTATTTTCAGTCACTACTACTAAGAATTCTGATGATTGTATTTAGATTTTTAGCCAATTAATAAAGACTTCACATGGCAATCTATTTTCATTGGGTGTATTTGGAAGTCCCTTGTCTCTTTCAGATTCTAAGACTGGTGAAGAGGTTTAAATTAAGATCTGTGTTCTCACCACTGCCAATAAGTAGCCAATAGCCTGGATAGGTCACTCACTATCTCTGAACATCAGTTTTTACATCCTTTAAACAAAGTGGTTAATTTACCTAGATTAACTTAATCTTTATTAAATATTTCTTATTAATATATGTTTCCAATCCAAATTCTCTTGCCCTATGCTTCTCAGGCTGACAATTTAAGATTCCCATACCTCTCATTTAACTCTGTTCCTTCAGTCTCACTGTAGAGTAGCTCTGTACCTTTCTGAATTATCTTAAAAGAATAGCAACTAGTCCTTTCCCTGAGAATGCTCCCCAATTCTAGAATGGTCAAGATATATCACATTGAGGCTGAAGAATTCAGCATTATCAGCATACACTTCATCTATATTAATTGGAATTCTAGGTCAACATCTGGAATTAAAGGGAATGGAATGGAATGGAATAGTTAATAGAATAAAACAGAAAATAGACTTAATCACGTTATCCTCAGTAAGAACTGTGTACATTACAACAAACACTATACCCAAATGCCTTGAGTATTATAAGAGACATAGTAGGTGAAGAGATCAATACATGCATTGATTAGAAATGGGTTATTTGGTCTATAGTTTATTAGTATTAATTTTATGGCATATAATTATCTGTTTTACCACTGTACAGAGAAGGTTAACATACAATTCCTTTTGATAATATAACTCATGATTAGTTAGGAAGCAAAATGAGAGAAAATTCTACCCCTTATTGACAAAAGTGACATTTCTTTAAAGAAGACTATATAGAACATTTTTAAAGTTTGTGACAGTTGTAATAATTTAACTAAACCTTTATAAATTTATCTAAACCTAAAGGCTCCACCATAAGTATTAGACCTAATATATCAAATTCAGCAAAAGTTGAAGGATACAAAATTAATATACCTGAATCAGTTGCCTTTCTATACACTAATAGTGACCAATCAGAAAGAGAAAGTAAGAAACAGTTTCATTTATAACTGTACCAAGAAGAATAAAATACCTAGGAATAAATTTAACCAAGAAAGTGAAGGACCTGTACTATAGAGATTGTGTAAGATCTGTATCTATAGAACATTGATAAAGAAATTAAAGAAGACATAAATAAATAGAAAGAGATTCCCTGCTCATGGATTGGAAGAATTAATATTATTAAAATGCCCATCCTATCCAAAGCAATCTGCCAAAGCAATGCAATTACTGTCAAAATTCCAATGGCAATTTTCACAGAAATAGAAAAAAATAATCCCAACATTTGTATGGAACCACAAAAGACTCCACATAGCCAAAGCAATCTTGAAAAAGAGAAGAAAGCTGGAGAGTCACACATCCCAATTGCAAACTATATTTCATGTTTGCATGGTAGTGGCATAAAAACAGATAGATTAATAGAGTAGAATAGAGAACCCAAATTAACCCATGCATATATGATGAATTGATTTAGGACAAAGGAACCAAAAATATACAATGGGGAAAGGACAGTCCTTCAATAAAAGGTGTTGGGAAAACTGGATAGCCACATACAAAATAATGAAACTGGACCACTGTATTACACTACACACAGACACACACAAAAAAAAAACAACTAAAAATGGATTAAAAACTTAAACATTAGACCTAAAATCATAAAACTCCTAGAAAAAAACACAGGGGCTAAGATGTTTCACATTAGCCCCTGTTGATGATATTTTTGGATTTGACACCAAAGCAAAGGCAATAAAAGCAAAAATCAATAAGAAGTACTATGACAAACTAAAATGCTTCAGGGTCAAAGGAAAAAAGATGGCAGAGTAGGAATGCAAGGCAGAAGCCTCCTTCCACACACACACACCAGGGAAGCAACTACAGCAAATACAACTAACCCTGAAAATGACTTGAAGACTGCAGAACAGACCACCTATACCAGGTGAAAAAAAGACCACACAGAGAAGGGTAAAGTGGCAGAGCCATGATCAATCAGGACCCCAGATCTTCCTTTATCCCAGCCCCCAAGCAGGAGGAAGAGAAATGGAGTAGGAAGGGGTTAACGACTCAAGAATCCTGCACACTGGGCCCTGGAGATCTGCTATGGGAATGTGAGTCCACACTGCATCGGGCTTTGTGATGAGTGGAGCTGGACACCGGGTGGAGTTGGAGCACTCCGGGACACTGACCTCCTGCTCCTCCTGCTGCTATGGAGGATAGGCACACTCCGTCAGCCCTGAGACCCATACAGAGGCAGAAGTTTGAAGGATTTCACAGAAGCTGAAAGGATGCCAGAGGGGTAAAGTTTGCGCTGAACTATCTCCGTTCCACAAGAGAAAGGACAGGTGGACACTTACGTAGCCCTCCCTTAATGCAATAGGTCAGGTACTCACAGGAGCCCCAAATGCTCCATCCCCCTCACTGGTGGTTCAGCCTCAAGATGCTTCCCTGTGCACCTGCCTGCCTGCCAGCCAGCCCACTTGGCCCAGCAGTGTCAGACTTTGCTGCCTGGTAGGCAGAGGGAGGCTTTCACAGTATTCTTGGCCCTATCTCAACCCAACTGAGGAGGTGCCTGCAGGAGCCAGCTCTGAGCATTCCTTCCTCCTCACAGGCAACCCAGTCTGTTGCTGAACCACAGAGTGCCTCCCCAAAAGCCATGTAACCAACCTGCCCACCCTGTTAGCCCAGCATTGCCACCACTGCTTCAGGCAGGCAGAAGGCAGCCCCACTGACAATGATCCCAGCAGAAGTACCACTGCTCAGCTGACAAAGGGCTATTTGAGGCAAACTGCCATCCATAGCAAACTGAGATAGACCACTGCTAGCAGAGAGACAGACAGACACAAAGGTGGCCCTGCCCATAGCCCACCAACAGCAGCTAGGCCTCCACTGTGAAGGAGAGCCAGGCACTGGAGACTAAAGAATCTTGAGCTTCTGGGCACCACAGGACACCTTTTTCTTAAAGCCATTACTCTCTAGACCAGGAAACAGTGCAGATCCATCCAATACAAAGAAATAAACACAGAAACCCTGACAAAATGAAAAGACAGAGGAATATGTTCCAAATAAAACTACAGAGAGAAGGCTAAAGGAAATGAGATCACCAATCTTCTTGATAAAGATTTCAAACTAACAGTCATAAAAATGCTCACTGATCTGCAGAAAAGTACTGAGGATCTCAGGGACCACATCAACAAAGAGATAGAAGAGTTGAAAAAGAGTCACCCAGTGCTGAAGAATACAGTAATTGAAATGGAACATGCAATGGAGGGAATGAATAACAGATTGCTGCAAGTAGAGAAGACAATCAGTGAGATGAGATGGAAATTAGAGAACAGAAACACAACAGAACTGAGAAACAGAGAAAAAAGAATCTCTAGAAATGAGAGGATTCTGAGAGCTGTGTGACAATTCCAAATGAAACGATATTCACATAATAGGGGTACCAGAAGGAGAAGAGAAAGACAAAGAAAAAAATGACATCTAATACATAAAATGTATTAGAAAATCTCTTTGAGGAAATAATTGCTGAAAACTTTCCCAATCTGGAGAAAGAAATAGACACCCAGGTCTTGGATACACAGAGATCCCCTAACTAAATCCCAGGAAGACAACACCAAGACATATAATTAAAATGACAAAGATTAAGGATAAGGAGAGGGTACTGAAAGCAGCCAAAAAGAGAAAAAAGATTACTTATAAGGGAAACCCTATCAGGCTATCAGCAGACTTCTCAGCAGAAACTTTACAGGCCAGAAGGGAGTGGCATGAACTATTTAATGTATTGAAACAGAAGGACTTTCAACCAAGAACCTTCTACCCAGTAAGATTATCATTCAAATTTGAAGGAGAGATTAAACATTTTCCAGATAAATTAAGGCTTAAGGACTTTACAACCACTAAACTGGCATTACAGGATATGTTAAAGGGGCTTCTTTAGATAGAAAGGTTCTTAAGCTTAAATAGTTTCACCGGTGAAAATAAACCCACAGTAAAGGTAGTAGACAAATTACTTACCAAGCAAGTAGGAAATTAAAACACAAAAAAGTAGTAAAATCAGTTATACACAAAATCAAAGGATGCACATAAAATGCAGATTATGACATCTAATACATAAAATGTGGAGGAGAAAGAAGAAAGAAAAGAAGTACTTTTAGATTGTGATTGTAATAGAGGAATCATCAACTTAATATAGACTGCTATATAGTTATGAAACTATCCATGAACCTTATGGTAACCACAAACCTAAAGCCTATAATAGATATGCAAAAGCTAAAAAAGAGGAATGTAATCAAATAACTAAAGAAAACCATCAAATAATAGAAGAGTATAAGATAGGAAAAAAGAAACAGAAAGGAATTACAAAAACAACCAGAAAACAATGGATAAAATGGCATTATGTATATACTTATCAATAATTACCTTAAATGTAAATGGACTGAATGCACCAATCAAAAGACATGGGGTGGCAGAATGGATAAAGAACCAAGACCCATCTATATGCTGCCTACAAGAGACTCATTTCAGACCTAAAGACATACACAGACTGAAAGTGAAAGGATGGAAAAAGATACCTCATGCAAATAAAAGGGAGAAAAAGGCAAGAGTAGCAATACTTCAAACAAGATAGACTTCAAAACAAAGAAAGTAGTGAGAGAGAGAGAGAAGAACATTACATAATGATGAAGAGATCAGTTCAACAAGAGGATAAAACCATTATAAATATCCCTACACCCAACATAGGAGCACCTAAATGTGCAAAACAAATAATAACAGAATTAAAGGGGGAAATAGAATTCAATCATCTTAGGAGACTTTAACATCCCACTTACATTAAAGGACAGAACATTCATACAGAAAACAAATAATGAAACAGAGGCACTAAACAACAAAATAGATCAGATGGACTTAACAGATATCTACAGAACATTCTGCCCAAAAGCAGCAGGATAC